TGTACGAATAAGACTCTGGAGAGTGACATCGAACAGTGGAATTGCTATTTCATTCCACAGGTAGAATATGCATTTTATAAATGTTTTAATGCCACTTTTTTCCGACTTTAGTGGGAAAATATAGTTTATCTTAAATGGAAAAATATAGTTTATCTTTGTATTATCAATTATTTTGTTAAAAACTTGAGATTTTTGTCCTTAATATATGTATTCTTTCCATTGTTTTCAAAAAGTTCCAGCTCGCCATTTTCTACAGTGCTCAGTAGCTCACTGTTCACACTTGAAACATTTATAGCATCTTTTTATTTGAAAAAAAAAAAACTTGAACGTAAATTTCAATGCCCACTATGATTTGCATAATTAAATTATAAATAAACTGATAAACATTTAATATGGCAAGCATAAAATTGCTCTCAGCTTCTCATGAAGTATTCCAGCTAAATTACCTGCTATAAATATTTTCAAGAACTATCCATAACTTCAGCAGATGCATCATTGCATCAAAACAATGTAAAACAACAAATCCCAAACATTTTCCAATCAAAATATCAACAGAAATTCACAGGCAACAACTATACCAACAACTATACTGTATATACAGACAGGTGTGTTGAAAATATAGGTCTAACTATAAAGAGCTTCAGGCCATGCACAACCTCTTGAGATAAAGCAGTTTAAATATGATATGAAGGTTCATGAATGTTTATGAAATGAAGGTTTATCCATTCAACTTCATTGATGTGATTTGTGCAATCCAATAAAATATATACCCTTATGTTTTCATTAACCCATTAAGCTGCAGAGCTTCCCCATTGACAAGTAAAATCGTCAGGCGTTAGACAAGTACTAGTAAAAAAATAAGTAGGGCGCACTGGGGCACATTGCGGCTCAATGAGTTAATTTAAGGCTTACAAGAGAAACCTGCAAAATATCTACTTGTTGACAAACTTTGGGGAACAATCCAGCAACTCCAACAGCATTACATGCATCTGCATACAATGCATTGCTACCAAAATAGACACAAATGGACAATGAACAGAATATTTATTTCACAATTTTTGAACCATACAAAATATGAAATAAGCAACTTCAGCTACAAAATTCAAATATATTTTAAAATGCATCCTTATATAAAAATATGCCAACCTAGGCTACATGACAGATAATTTCACATGCAAATCATAACTGCAAACATTTGTCAATTTAACCCTTTTGGCATAATAGTGCATAATCCAAGTGGGGGCATATGCATACACAATTTAAGACCTACTGTAACCAGGAACGGTTGAGAACACTAGGTCCTCTTCCAGGAATCGAACCTGTGGCCCTGCAATTCCAGTGTAGCACTCTAACCAACTAATGCACCTTTCAATGTTAAGCCTGGGGAGGCAAGGGGTAGAGATTTGAACAACTTTGCTTGCCCGACGAGGAGGATTTTGATGTCGCAAGATCACCCTGCGGTGTGGACAGGGCCACCGAGAGAATATGTAGGGCCTCGGACAAATCTTCCCTGGGGGCCCCATGACATTATTTTTAAGCTAGACCCAACTAGACCTTAGCTAGACTGCATGTGGAGGTACTGTAAGGGGCTCTCAATTTCAAAAGTGCTCTGACCAATTTAAAGAAATTACTCAATTTTAGGCTCTTCCTCTCAAGTTGGGGCCCTATTATGGTGGGGGCCTGGGGCAATCCCCCCCCTCCCCCTGGCCCCCTCTCAGCGACCCTGGGTGTGGACATTTGATCTTTCAAGGCAGCCCTTGGCCAGGCAATTTTGAATATTTTTTATTCAAACAAATAATGGGAATGAGACCATGTCAGCGGTATATTCACTGGCCTATACTTAGATTGTTGGAACAGGCAATTTAATAGTCTGCTTTGTTGAAGATTACAACAATTTGGGTTATTAGTTTGATCATGAATGCAATATAACAAATTTTCCCAACCCTCAGATGGGGGAAATATTACTGTTTTTTGACCCAATATTGATTTCCTCAGGTAGGGAGTATTACCATTTTTTGAACAATGGTGGTGTCCCTGGGGTGTGGATTTTGACAATTTTTTTCAGGAAAATGTCAAATCCCAACCCCATGCCCCCCCCCCAGGCTTAACATTGATAGATACATAAGCTGCATGGGCCAGTTGCCAAGCTGCAACCACAAGTTCATGTTCAGTTATATATAGATTTTCAGGTGTGTGGATTTTGATAAGGTAAACTTGAAAGATGTGTTTTGCACTTCACTTGGTTGGACAAGAATGTTGGGTTTAGTGGATAATCCAAGCAAGCATATATATACACAGTTTAAGACCTAAGGCGACAGGCTTGATTCCTGCCAGAGAACCTAGTGTTCCTAGTGTTGTACTTTTTGCAACTGTTCCTAGTTAGGTCTTAAATTATGTACATATGCCCCCACTTGGATTATCCAGCATTCACTGTCCAGAATAACAATCCCATAATATTACAATTTGAATCAGCATTATGAACAGAACACTGTGACAAACCGGAGAAAGAGCTTGAACCTGACAAGATAATTGTGGGAATGCTTGACAGCTCTCCAGTATAGTGTTTGGTTACATTAGAGGGTTCATAGTGTAGGAATTTCTTTCATCCATAAAATGTGTTGAATGTGTTTGATGCCTTGGTGGCTTAAGATCAAAATATACTACCAGATCAGTCATCCTACCCCTGTACATCCCCAAACAGCTCCAACTACTTAATTTCGCTCAAGAGTTATATGGCACTTAATAGTTCCTTCGCCATCAGCTGTGAAAATAGTCCAAGTCACAGATAAAATCCCTCGTGAAAGACTCCATCAGAGGCATTTAATGAAGAAAGAATCCCTCCAAGTGATTAAACAGCAAGTTCTGCCGGAGACCAAGCCATCTACATTCACGTCCTTGGGACAGTACTCATGAGAATGCCATATTCTTGACTAAAATTTACGAGATGACCATATTGCACTCTTAATCCACTCTATTTCAGACCTCTAGGCCAAGATATTTGTCTACCGCTTCGGAAAGATCCATTCGGAGAAAATAGTTCGAGATGAAAAGCCATCAGAGAGACAAAAAATTAACAAACTAATCCTCTTTGGTAATGATTAACATTGGATTCGGCAGCATAAATGTCCATGTAGTTGAATAACTCGACACATTTCAGCTGAATATTTCGAGATATAAAAGCAAAAAAAAAACACACTGAATCCTTGAATGACGTTAATAAAGATAATATTTTTTAAATAAAACCAAAATCGTAGCGAAATTCCATGTAGATTTTCCACAATAAGTGCTTGAAAATAGCCATATTTACCTGGTTTTCCTATGTCACTTGCGTTTTTTGCCCGCTTGTTCCGCCATCTTGGATTTTTAATTTTGGACACGTCTCGTTTCTAGTCTTCAGAATAGGAGTCGGCGATCTATATGTCCTATATCTATGACGGTAACACGATAACTTTTTAAGAATATTCTTACAAATGAAAATCGCCTAAAAATATCACTTTTAATTACAAAATTATCAATTTCCCAACATATATATGTTAGATATGTAATTATACGTAATACAAGCTAGGTAAAATTCAACCACAAACAATTCACAAAACGTTTTAAAGTGTGCTTTATAAAACAAAACTGCCTTTTTAACTATTAAATGGCTTTATCGATAAATTTGAGTTTGCAATAAAATGATTTCAAATTCTCGCTTGCAAATAACTTTGCTTTATTTTTTATTTAAAAAATTCAATATAATAAAAAAGGGAATCAATATTAAAGATACACTGAAATTATATGCTGTCTTGTTTAGTTGTTTCATATACGCAAAGGCCGTCGGGTTTTAAAGCCATTATAAAATCAATATTTAAAACAAACTTACCTTCGTTAACGTCGGCTCCCTTCTTTTAGCTGATTCTTTCGCCCTTTCTTTCTTGAAATTTACAAAATCTTGCAGAAATACGAGCAAAAATGAAATATATTTGCAAGAAATTTATCAATCATCAAATCAGGAAATGTTTGCTATTTCGCTGTCGTCATGCAGTCGTTGTAATGCAAACTTTAAATTGGACCAATCAGTGTCCGTTATTCATCACAGTCCGCCATAGTTTTGAGATCAGTGAGGATGACCACCCATCGTTGGTGACCGACGCCCGCGCTCATTGATGAAATTTAGACTTCGCTAATGCTTTCGTTTCCCCGGGTGTAAATAGCCGGGGGGGAATTAATACCCTCGCACGGCGCTTCGCGCCGCCGGCTCGGGGATTAACTGCCCATCACTTTTAAAACAGCAAGAAGATAAAGACAACGTGTACGGGTGAGTTATTCATGAAATAAATAGTTGGTTTACAAAATGAATTCCGTCTTTGAGGATAAAAATTAGTTATAAATAATCTCTCCTGTTATGTGCCAAATGCTTCATGTATGGATTTCCCCCGGTATATTCCTTCTCTTTTGTATGGCTGTTTGTGATTATTCGTCACTGGGTCATGTGGTGTCAGCAACTCTAATCCAGCCGATTCAGAATGCGTTCTTCGAATGATTGTGATAAAAGAAATCAAGGCACACCTGAGGTCGCACGACGTTAGCTTGGATTCCAGTTTGAGAACAGAGTCTTGTCTTCCACCTGCACGAGCCGATTAGTTCATTATTTTTATCTGACATATACTTTTCATCTAATTTCAATTAAATTTATCCAACCATTGGCTGGATCATATACATTTACAACAGGCAGTACTCAGGCCAACGAAAAGTCAAGAAAGGCAGGCCAACTTTCCCAGAGAGTGGCCGGGAATGGTGGAATTGTGCAACGTGTTAAACTGATTAAGGAATATTCTGAAAAATTGATGTCGAAAAAGGTCCGAAAAGTATTCTGGCCCCCCTCCCCCCCATTATCGCAAAATTAATTTATATAATTAGACTGAGTTCCTTATCAGCATCTTGAAATATCCCTGTTCAACATGCCCTGGGTACGAGGTTGATCCCTGTTACAAATAGAATATTACTGCCAGGACGTGCCAAGCGATATATGGTTGGGGGATAGTGAACTTAAAAAATTCGGCCCCCTTCCTTTTTGGGGGCCACCTCAAAATGTTTTCTGGTAAGCAAAAATGTTACAGTAAAATGTAAAGGGTGGGAGGGACGTGGGTGGGTGGGGCGACGTTTTTATGGAAAAACGTTCCAAAAATTATTTTTGCGATAATGGGGGGTTCAAAATACTTTTCAGACCTTTTTCGACCTCAATTTCAGAACACGTTGCGCAATCCCAGCATTCCGGGGCCCCCTCTGGGAAAGTTGAGCTTCCTTTCAAGTTCAATTTTTTGGCCTGAGAACTGCCTGAGTGTTCTAGATGTATCATCCAGAAATGGGTGGATAAATGTAATTGAAATTGGGCCAAGAGGCCTAGATATGTCAGATAACGCGTAAACACAAACAGCCATAAAAAAGAGAAGAAATATTCCGGGGGAAATCCCTGCATGAAGCTTAACACATACAGGAGAGACTATTTATTACTCATAAAAATTTTATCCACAATAAAATTTTATCCACGAAGACGAAATTCATTTTGTAAACGAACTAATTATTTCATGGATAACTCACACGTACACGTTGTCTTTATCTTCTTGCTGTTTTAAAAGTGATGGCCAGTTAAAACTACTAAATAAGTAACAATGCGTACAAGTTTGGTTTGAAGTTTGACCAAAGTTATGGAGCAACAACAAAATAATCAAATATACAACACATACAACTGTAGCTCTCTCCTCCGCAGAGGTTTCAATGAGCTTTACATGGCGCTTTACATGACGCTTACCGTATTGAACCGCTGTGTGGAAGACGCGCAGGCGAAAAAAGCACAAATAACACTGAAACCTCTGTGGAGGGAGAGCAACTGTAGTAAATATTACCAAATCATAAATCAACAGTGGGTCTTTTTTAAAAATAGAAAAGACTCCTTTTGGCATGATATCACGGTGAAAGAATCCAGCTTTAATATTAATTAAATTAATTACTGTAAGTAGACGAATTGACAATTTCAACGTAAGATGACCGATGTTTTTGACAAAAAGCGCGTGCACTATTTATGTTCGAAAAGTTATAAGCACGACGAGTCGTGAAAGAACAGAAGTTTATGGGAAGGGGAGAGAAAATACACTTGCTATACTTATCGCGGCATATCCCCGATAAAATATAATTAAAACCAAATCCGCCAAATCAGCATCGCCGGCCATACAATATATTATAGGCAATACCTGAACAATAAGCGACTGTAAACAGTGTGATTTAGACCTAAATGCTTTCTGCCAAACGTACAGCTTTAGCTAAGGTAGTTTTATAGGCCTAGGCTTGTTTACTCAAAGAAGTAAACCCTTTTGACGAGCTCTTTGGTTATTTATAGAACTACATGACTCGACGTTGATTACATAACATACGGTTATTCGGGTCAAATAGGGGTTACGAAAAATTCGTCAAAAATTCAATTCTACGTTGCCCCAAAATTTTATTTAATCAATAGCAAGGGAAAACATATTTCTTTGACCTGGTTATGAATTTTTTGTCTGAATCGATGTAACAATGGAGATATTCGCTGCCTAATATGACATATAATAAAGAGGTTCAAAAATAAAAAAAAACATTAAGAAAATCTGTAAAATATTCACTTTGTACAGAAATATCTCTAAATTTCGTCTGCTACTCAATAAATAACTCTAATTTATAAAACGAAATCATATTTTGTGAAATATTCCCATTAACGTGGAAAATAGAGCGATTTTGGTATTGCCGTAAAATGACCTCTAAAAAGCGAAAGTGGCCTGGGAAAACCAATTTCGACGTCTCTCTCCTTCAATATTTATCCGATTGAAATAAAACTTTCACATCATTAATACTTCATATAGGCCTACATTCTGACAAAGTTTGAATTTTTCATTTTACACGTCTTACCTGACTATTACAGACAACCGCTCTTAAATTGGAGAGAGATGGAAACGTATTCGCTTGATTTCAAAACTGCTCATATTTCCTAAATCAACAGACTCTAATCTTTCAATGGATATGCTTTTACGAACAGGATTAGCAAACACGTGCAATTTCCAGCGGAATATTCAGAGGCACCTATTCAGATTATTGCAGACTATATTAGACGGTTGTGCCGTTTTTGGTATCAACCCGTATTTTCATATGAACAATAATTTAGACTAAAATTTTTACAATCTTAAGTTGAAAATTTAGCTTTTTCCTTTTTTTTAGCAAAATCACGATTTTTGCACTTAATTTTTTTTCAAGGATTTAATCATAAATAAACTTTCTAAAGATATTTCTGAGTTGAAAAATGCGTTAAAAACTACCAATTCTACCAATTCTACCAAAACATGAATCCACCAAGGATCTAGTTGAACAGTTCAGTGCACATTTTGAATAAAAAATTCTTATCTTAAGACGGGAACTATCTGAATTACGTTCAAATGTAACTGTTGATCGGGCCGAGAAATGTCGCAGTTCTCTAACACATTTTGAGCGAGTTTAAATGAGTACAGTGCAGGATATCATCATGGTGTCAAAACCTAAATCTTGCCAATTAGACCCAATTCCAACATGGCTGCTCAAAAGTTGTATTGATGTCCTTTTACCAACTATAACAACCATCATAAATGCATCTTTGGAACAAGGAGTTTTTCCAACGAAATGGAAAGAATCTCTTCTGCGGCCTCTTATCAAGAAAATGTCATTAGATCGAGATGAATTTAATAATTTTAGGCCAATCTCAAATTTAGCATTTCTCTCCAAAACACTCGAAAAGATTGTTGCTTCTCAACTTGACACCTACTTAACAAATCATCAATTATATGCCAAGATTCAGTCAGCGTACAGAATCCATCACAGTACAGAGACAGCACTACTTAGAGTTGTGAATGACGTAATGAGGGGGATTGATGATCAACAAGAATGTGTTCTAGTGTTACTTGATCTTTCACCAGCATTCGACACAATTGATCACGACATTTTGCTTGACAGGCTGTGTAATCGTTATGATCTTTCGGGGGTAGTTCTGGATTGGCTAAAGTCTTACCTCTGTGATCGCCCTCAGCGCCCTCGCGCTAGCTGTGGGTTTCCGCAAGGATCTGTTTTGGGACAATTGTTGTTCTCTTTGTACATTGCTCCCCTCGAAGATGTGATCATGTCCCATGGAATAGATGCCATGATGTATGCTGATGATTCTCAGCTTCATATTTTTCTGAATCGTAATAACCGCATTATCGCAACTGAAAAGTTGGAAGCCTGTATTGACGACGTTATGAATTGGATCGTTTGCAATATGCTTATGGGCAATCCATCAAAGACGGAAGTAATTCATTTTTATTCACGTTACATGAAACCTGATTGTCCTCTTCGTCCCATAAAAGTAGGAGGGCATGATGTACAACCCGTAAACAATGTAAAAGATCTAGGCGTTGCACTCGATTCCTGCCTTACTTTCAAAGTGCATATTAATAACATATGTCGTTCGGCTTCACAATCAATACATCAAATTGGCAAAATAAGAAAATATCTTTCACGAAAGGACACCGAAAGTCTTGTTCATGCTTCTATTTCATCCAAACTTGACTATTGCAACGGCGTACTCTACGGCCTTCCTTCTTGTGAATTACAGAAGTTGCAAAGGCTACAAAACACTGCTGCCAGATTAGTCGTCAGAGAAAGGAAATCTGCGCATATAAACAACGAGTGACTTTCAAACTCCTTTTGGTGACCTATAAAGCTCTTAATGGCATTGCCCCTTCATACATCACCGATCTACTTCGTCGTCATATCCCTGCCCGTACTTTGCGCTCCAACAGTCAAAATTTGTTAACTGTGCCTAGAGTGCAAACTGAGACATATGGCGAGAAGTCTTTTTCCTGCGCTGCTCCGAGACTCTGGAGCAATTGACTGGAAACTCTGACTCTATTAAGCAAAGTCCAACTATCGATGAGTTTAAGGCAAAGTTGAAAACATATCTTTTTAGGATGGCTTTTGCTGAGTAACTGTTTTTAGATTTTTAGATTCTTGTTGTAAAAAGCATTGAGACTCATGTATAATGCGTTTTTAACGAACAATTATATTATTATTATTGAAAACAAATGTTAAACCCACCCTGAGTGAAAACAACTTGAAAAAAGTTAAATTTCGTCAATATTTCGTCTTAGAAATAAAAACTTTGTAACTGTCCAATTTCAATTTATTAATTAAAGTCTTTTATCCAGGACATTTTTCAGCAGCCTTTGAATAAACGAACTTAAATTCTTGCACATCCAATGTTTTCGTCCCAAACGAGAAGCCCAAAAACTTGTTTTTGCTCATTTTAATAATTTAAAACAAAATTTTCGCTAGCGCCCGCAATTTATTGACCAGAGACAGCAAATTTCCCACCTGTTGTTTCAAGCACGGTCGCGTACGGTGGCATACCGCTGGCATACGGCGAGGCAGAACAAGTTTAAAGGCCCTGTCGCACTATTGCGTATCAGAGAAACGTATGAGAAGCGTATGAAAATTAATGAAATAATTTTCATACGCACACAAATCCTTTGAAATGCTAGCGTATGAGTAAAGTACATCTGGCGTACCTCTAGCGTATTCAGCGTGTGCGTAGAGTATGCTTATCCTATAAAGCATACGTCCGATACGCACAAAATTTTTGAACATGCTTAAAAAAAATCTCTGCCTCGCAAATGACTATATGTGTATTGCATATGATACAAACACATTGAGGTATAAATTTTACTCTGCGCATACAATATTTCGTAGTCAAACTGTCAAACCTTTAATTTGTCCTTGTTTATATTCCATTCTATTGTATAAATTCACTGGGTACGAATCCCGTACAATATTACAAAGAAACGGTGAAATGTTGGAGCGTGGCGTGATCCTCAGAAGATGTTTTCGTTATGCCCAATGAAACACAAGTATTACTCACAAATACAAACGTTATCCATAAATGCCCATGGTCTCTGAGCATGCGATGCGCTAACGCAGACAACATTTTTATATTCCATGATTCCATGAGTCCGTGACTGTATTAAACGTATAAAATTCGAAAAACTCAGCGATCCAAATATTGCATTTCCAGAGACGTTGCACAAAAAAAAATCACTCAGTCAACTTCCAAGAAAGTGCAGAGTAGGATAAATCCAAAATCCACAGAAAACGCGCTAAAATTCGTTGACAAATGAATAAATTGTTTGAGACCGAAATAGACACACATTGAATGGCCGCCATCTCGAAAACTGATCTCTATTGTAAACTGGAACGACTGAAACACTGGAAACTGAGCCCGCGATGCGCTACCGCAAACTCGAATTCTCAACGACGAAAAAAACCCCAGATATTTAGGGATTTAAGACAGTTGACCTTTCAGGTCAATGCATGTAATTAGCGTCGCTGGAAGAAAATATTTTATATTATGAAACATACTAAGCATAAAATTAAACATTAAAAAAGTTTTGAATGATTTTTCCTTTATAGTATGAATTCGTAATATTGTCTTAGTAATTAGATTGTGTATATTAGAACGAGGCAATAAGATCTGGTATATACGTATCCAGTGAAATAGTGGCCGGGCTACATGATATGTATTCCGTACACAGGGTATTCTGTAATACTTCTATTTGTGGAAAGTGGCATTGATTGTCGCTTTGAATCTTCCTGCAGTATTTCCTTGAACGCTAGTTATTTTATCTTGATTCTCTTCAATTGGGATGATATATAGTTTTAACTTGCAATAACAGTTCTTGAGTATTTTCGGAACCAGAAAAACAAGTTTGTAGATTTATTATGGCATGGCGAAGTAAATCGTTCATCTTTCTACGCGTGGTCTAAGAAGAACAGCGTGGAGTGATGGATATATGGTGCACCAGGGGAGTTACGAAGGGATCCATCGATAACGCGCGGAGGCCTGGACGGGGATCAATGATGCGTCCGACTATCAATGAGGAGTCCGACTGTCTACGGGAAAAAAATTTGCCTCGCCGTATGCCAGCGTATGCCACCGTACGCGACCGCGCTTGAAACGTATACAACCTATGCCTAACGTACCTCTAGCGTATACCGGCGTATGAGTAATATTTTTCATACGCTGGCATACGCAAATACGATACGCAATAGTGTGACAAGGCCTTAAGCATGCTCAAAAATGTTGTGCGTATCGGACGTATGCTTTATACGATAATCATAATCTAGGCACACGCTGAATAAGCTAGAGGTACGGGTCGCCAGATGTACGGTATTCATACGCTGCCATTTCAAAGGATTTTTGTGCGTATGAAAATTATTTCATTAATTTTCATACGCTTCTCATATGTTTCTCTCATACGCAATAGTGTGACGCGATTCAGCTAGACTATAAATCAATCAACGCATACAACGCTGCTGTCATTTTCAATATTTTACACTTGAACTACATTTATATAAATGACGCGATATAATATGATCAAAACAATAAACCGTATTTTTCACACTGGATCAACATTTATTTAATTAATAAGGATGATATCGCTGACTGGTTATCCTTCTAGTCAACATTTGCAAGGTAAGTTTGGTCTTGTTATTAAAATATATTAATACTGCCAAGATTTGCAACACCCTTTATAAATATAGTTCAAGTGTAATTTAATATCGAAAATGACAAGAGCGTTTTATATGCCAACCCATATATTATAGACCAAATATATTTCCTTGTCTTGGGCGTTTGAATTGGTCGGATAGTGCGAGCTAGACGAATTGAATTTGGGTTGACTGTGTTGTCATTTATAGTATTCGGAATTTTCCGAAGAGATTCGAAGCTTCAAAGAGAAATAACACGAGTTTCAGAACGCAGAAGGACGCGTTCCGAACGCGTTCTCGAAGGTGTTCCGAACGCGTTCAGGAAGGTGTTCCGAACGCGTTCTCGAACGTGTTCTGAATGCGTTTCGGAACGCGTTTCGAACGCGTTCGCAGCATTAGGTTATTTCTGAGCAGTACTGTATGTACTTTCAAATATTGTTCGAGCCGCATTGAACTGAATCTTTAAGCGCATGATCAAGCAGGAATTATTATCAGGGCAAATAAATATGTATTCCAATCAATGCTAGTGCTTCTCGCACGAGATCAAGCGGGCCAACATAAGATATATTCCAGATTGTGAGGGTAAATAAATACTGTGTCATTTATACGCTGATATAACAGGGCGGCAAATAAATGCCCTAAACTGTACGTTGTTTCGTCGTTTGCTATATACTGATTTGCATCGAGACAGCGCACATTGACGGTGCCTGACTGCATTCGAAATCAGGAGAAGCAAATCAGTTCCATAAGGCTTGGTTTAAGTTTGACCCCGGTTGTAGAGTTGATGTGCCGCATGTTTTGAGCTCAGAAGCGGGAAAACACATGCATTACTACTTTTTCTCCTCATGTAGCATTATTCAAAACGCCGTTATCACTCACGATCTTCAAGAAAACCATTCGCATGTAGACGGTTAATTAATAACAATGTGACTATGATCTAAAATGTCAGGTGTACATTTCCCAGAATTGATGCCCTTGATGCTTTTGATAAATACACTTAAATATTTATCTTTTCGTTTGCAGTTTCCTGTTTGGGTTGGCATTCGTTTGCTTTATTCTAGCAGATAAAGGTATTTATCGTTATTTTAATTTTGAAATATGAGACAAGACTCCTGTTCAGACGTTCACTATATACGTACGCAGGCCCGGAAGAGATTGTTAGATAGATAGATAGATAGATAGATAGATAGATAGATAGATAGATAGATAGATAGATAGATAGATAGTTTAATAAAACATTTACATTGCAGCCAAAGGCTGAATTACGTAAAGTTTACAAAATGCGAATTATTATTAAATTACTATTATAATTATTAAGTTAAAATTATGCAAATATTTAAAATTTTACTAGGATGATAATGAAAAAGATACCATTAACGTTACGAAAACATCTTCGATGCCATCGCAAATATAAAAGATTTTTTAGTACGATTAGTATTAATGTGAGGAATGTCAAATTCATGACCATTTCTGAGATCGTGGTGCCAGTTATGTTTCTGTGGGAGGAGGTCATAAAGTTAGTGGTTTGGATCCTTTGTAACATTATCAAATAAGTTTTTGCATAAGAAATTATGGTGTTCTTCAATTGGTTTGATATTCAAAATTTCTCCTGTTGCAGAGTAGTCCATTCCTGGATTTATTATTGAAATAGCCCTTTTTTCCAGTCGAATCAATTCGTTCTTTAAATATTGTGGAAGGGAGTGATAAAAGGCTGGTACTGCGTAATCCATGACAGATCTAACGCAAGACGAAAGAATATCACAAGATCTTTAGCTGGTAACCTAGCTCTTTTTAATTGAACTGGCTTTTTTGACGACCACTATT